TTGGTTCGTTATAAATAAATGCCTTTCCTTTGGCTTTGTCTAGTCGTCCATGCATGTGGCCATGGGTGGGCGGGCGACGGGCGACAGACCCAGAAACTCGGGTCGACTGCGCATCCATTACGGACTGCCAATCCAACACCCTGCGAAGCACAGAAGGAGCGTGGTGGACAATCATCGGACCGCCGTCCAACACCTCCAGTCTCCGGCTGACTGTTTGGGTGACGACATGATGCGGTGACGCGAGGTCTGATGCATTCAATTAATCCCAGCCCTCCGTCATCAGCATGCAGAGCGAAGCACCGGCGAGCAGCGGGCAGCGGGCAACGAGCAACGAGCAACGCAAGTCAGACAGGCAGGACCTTCCTTGCACATGTATGCCACGAAGGGCACCCATTGTGGAGTTTCTTTGCGCGGAGAATGGCAGGCGAGAAATCACCGACAGGGAACAGGGAAGCAGTTCTCGCCTCTCGTCTGCTGGGCTGTCAAATCCAATCCTCACACGGGCCCTCACACGACCACCAACCAGCCCGCAACCCCGGCAGGCATGCTGTACAATACCAATACGTACCAGTATTTGATGTTGGGATAAGAAGTGGAGGGCAGGGAAGGGCAAGGAGGCTTTGATGTGGGAACCCCAACGCCTCGATCCATCCCCCCTTTGGCCTTCAAGATATGCTGCCTCGAACGACCAGGACCAAAGGAAACCGACCTTCAGGATGCCAATCACAGCAAAGGGCAATTTTGTCCATGCCAGCCAGCCCTTTGGCATCCGCGAACTTTGTGGTGGTGCCACAAACCGCCATCTCCGCCCCATGCGAGTCACACCTTTTGCGAATGCCATACGGGGTACGGAGTACGGAGTAGCTGCAATACAGTCCTGTACGGAGCACTTCCGTACAGCGTAGCTAACATTCGGTTGTGCAGTGCAATACAGCCGCACGCACAGAAACAAGGTCGGGTACTAGACAGCCAGTGCTGTATTCGGTTGCTGACCTGTCTGGTGTTCTGCATTGGAACCGACATCTGAACCCTTCACCAAGCTCTGTGTAACTGCGACCGGGCCGTTGCCTGAAGTTGACAACGGCCCAACTGCATGGACAAAGATTGCTCAGCAGCAAAGTCCGTATTGAGGAATCACCGAGGGTATCCACCGTTGCATGTTTTATACCATGTACTTTGTATGTACCTACATCTGTCTGTGGTGTAATGGAGTCGGTCTTCAAGCTGGAAACTGGCACAGGCAAGCTGGTTACTTGGTACGGAATCTTCGCATGTTGTACAATACATGCACATACTCCGTATACACAATACACGCTGCTCTCGGATAGTACGCAACTCGGCGCATTCCCCAAGGCATTCCAACTCACCTGGTCAGCAAACACCAGAACTTGCTGTTCCGTGTTGCCGGTTCTAGACCAGTTCAGCCCCCATTGCTACACCGACGATGGCCTCTCAACGCTTTACAGCCTTTCCCCAGCTACGGAGCACCTACTTGGCAGATAAGTCTTCTCGACTTGTCAAGGAGTACGGGTTTGGATGTCGAGCCTCGCCCTTCATCGCTCATCAATCATTTGATGGCCTTGCAGCTTGCCCCAGCGGCGTTGCTTCCTTTCTCATCAAGCTTTCCCAAACTTCAAACGCCGAAAGGGCCAATCTAATAACGCGACTGAGTCAGTAGCCATTCATGAATTGATCCCTGGGCCCTGCTGCTTCTGGCCTTGCCGGGCTGTCCTTCTCGGCGATCTGTTTGGGCGCCTAATTGCAGCCACCTCCGCAATGCCAATTGTGTCTTGACCAAGCAATCAAATCCAGGAGTCGTCCTGCGGCCGGCCGAGTGAAGAAAATGGCAACTGATGCAGGCAACTGCAGCCGCATGTACATTACTCCGTACCAAGGCCAGCAGGGCCGTCGGGCCGTCATGTTCAGCCTGGCCTGCGTCCATCTCACATGCGCTCGCATAATACACATGTACTTACGTGTATGCTACGGAAGAAAGTGCGGGGACGACTGTGTTGAACTACTTACATGCGACAATATTACATACACGAGCGGCAAATGTGTGTCTCGACTCGTTGACGTTGACTAGGTACTCCAAGTCTGATGTCTGTCTGCTTGGACAATAGCTGCAACATCATAGCCGCCCCATTTCGATGTCATCATCAATACTCGGTGGATGGTATGTACGCCGGACTAGCTAAATAGGGCCAGGCTCAGGTCCAGAACTACTACGACAACCAACATACATTCTCAACGACACCAGTACTAGTACATCCTTTTGGCCTAACATCATGGCAATGATCCTGGTGTTCTCGGACAGTCGATAGGCCTCCACGCCTCCAAGGATTGCTTCCGGCGCATAGCGGCTTGAGCGTAATAGATCTTGCACCAACAGCCCAGTGGCTGAGCGCATCAACCTCATGGCACTGGCACTCTCCTTGACGACGATCATCAAAAAGCACTTTCTACATACAATAACCAGCCCCCCAGTAAATGACGAGGGTTGTCGCCAGCCAAAATTGCGGTGTGGGAAGCCCCTCCTCCACCAGATCCACTCCCAACCTTCTTTTCGGCTCATCGTCCGCCCAACATGATCGTCATGCTGCTGATACTCGATATTGTATCTGTACGAACAAGCACTACTTGACTCCTAAACTACAAAGGAAAAGGGTTGACGGGGCGGTCGGGAGACGAGCGCAGTGATTGAGACGCCCGGCACAGTCACGTTTTGGTCCCACTGACAGAAAAAGTCGAAAGCATGGGTCCCTGGCGATCAGTCCGAGGTTTTTTTATTTGTTTTTTCGGTCCCTCGTTTTATTACTCAGTTCATCATGTTGCAAGTGAAATGATTGGGCCGGGATAGGGGACTGCAGAAGTGATGGTAATATAGCTCTCTTTGTGCGTTGTGTTTTGCTGGACAGACCTCTAATCTGACGCCCTCCCTTTTTTAAAGCTTCTCGTCGAGACGACGAGATGCACTTCATGATGTTGGAAGCATTTGCTGTCAGCCTTCCCCCCCAGCGGAACGAACTTCCCGGAAGCGGCGAGGCTCTTGTCCAAGGGACCAAAAAAAGAAAAGAAAAAGAAAAAGCAGTGTCATCAACGTGGGATCTGAGCATTCAGTTGCCAAGCTCGGCTTCCAAAAGACCCAATTGCTCCGTACTCAAGCACGTCCGTCATCTTTGACGCGGAGGCACAGCTGTTGTTGGTGCCCAATGGGGATCCCGTCCGTCATTTCCATGCCACCCACTTTTCGCCACACAAGGATCTTGTGTTGGATGCGGCGCCGGCGTAGGGAAAAGAAGGGGTCCAGGGCCCATTCCGTGGATGGTTGGTTGTACGGCATGGCCAAACGTGACCACTTTCCACTACGCATGGAGTACTTCTATTCGCAGTTTCGGCAACTGCTGCGGCCATCATGACTTGTTTCCAACACCGAGAATACCCCTTTGTCTTTCACCGGCTTCCCCAGGAGCCTACCAGACTGGTCGGTTCCCAACCAACGAGAATGAGCAGATGATGCAGGCGCCGGGCCAACAGCAGGTAATATCAGGTAGCGCTGCCGAATGGGGTGTAAATCAAGCCAAGGTCGGGGCCCGAGGGAAAGGGAGGCGGCAAAAGCCGCTCCTCCTTTGAAGCTCCATTTAGTTACTCCATGGTCTGTATCTACGGAGCCACGTCCCCCAAACAGCTTCGGATCTAGCCACCAACTTGAGTTAGTCTTTGCGTTTCTCAAACTTTTTGTTTCGAAACGCGTCTAACCGAGCCGTGCCACAAAGAAGAATAGTACTTGGACACTCCGCCCACACCCTACACACACGTATCACATATTACGTTGTAAGAGACGGAGACTTAAGCTCAAGCCCTCCCGTCTCCTGTCGAGTCTGAGCTACGCTCTAGAGCTGTCGATGAACACCTTCCACGGCAGGTGCTCCGAGCCTCCAACATTGTAACCAAGATATTATTTTCCGGGACGGAAAGCCCGAGTTACAGAGCCGGGATAACTCAACGCTCTGAGGCTCCGAGGTGGCGTCTGCGGCGCTCCTGTTCATGACCAACCTTATGACGCGGATTATGTGACGACCAACAAAGCAGCAAAACCTACAGGGTTGTGGCCCCAGGGTGACTGCTCACAATAAGTTAGTTAACCTCCTTGCCTGCCGAGACTGCTCACAATAAGTTAGTTAACCTCCTTGCCTGCCGAGAGTACTCATGCATGCTCATCACCGTCACCCTTTTTCCCACCCCTCAGCCCTACTAGAGCCATGATGTACGGGCGTGGCGTGCGTGTGACGGGGCAATTTTACTGCATCTTGTCCAAAATAACTCAACCGTGCGTTTTAACCGTACTCATAGCGCCGGTTGCTCGTCACGTCATTTTTTCTTTTGTCTTGGAATAGTATGGACGTTGGAAAATGAAGACACATGTGTGGGTACATAACTAATGTAGTATGTGCAACCTAACGGGTTCCATTATTAGGGCCAGCATTGCAACGGCCTTCTGTCCGTGATGCCAATGAGTCGTCAAGCCCGCCGAGCCCGGACGTTGGGCTTTTGTGATGCCAAGACACATTGGTCAACCCTGAATTGAGAAGTATCACGCGAGCCACTGTACATATATTTCCGTGTGGGGCAGGGTTAGCGGGAATTTCTTGCTTTAGCTGGCACGCCCTGGTTCCTTCGGCCGCGCATCTTGTGGAGAAGCGGTAAATGGGCCGCGGCTTCATGCCCGCTGTGTTGTGATGTCGAATATCTTGTTGGAGCTGCTTGGTGATACACCGGAATGGCAGATTCAAAACACTCTGGTCCGTGCTCGAGGTGAAGAAGAAGGATGCTGCGAGTCGAAAGCCTCAACCACGCTCAAGAGGATAGATAAGTCTTGTCCCAGTTCAAAGGGGCTTGTGTTGTAAAATGCAACCAACCGAGTTTGTTTCTTCGTAAATCGTAAAAAAAGCCCATGCTATCTATCCATTTTCTTTGGGCCAGTGTTGTATCAATGCCCGTCACCAGCCGGAAACATATTCACCGGGCAGCAGCCTCTCCAAGCTCGCCCTCTCACTAATGCCAGCCACCCTGCCCTCGTTCGCCTCCCTCAACGCCTTCAAACCGTCGGCTTCGCCCTTCTCGCAGAGCAGCTGGCACTGCAACTGGAACGCCGGCGTCCAGTTGAGCATGTCCTCGTGGCTGTGGCCCCCGGCTCCGCAGCCGTCCACCTTGTCGAGCACGCAGACACTACCCGACCTGCCGACGTATTCCATAAACGGCCACCAGCTAGAGTAGTCTCTGCTGAAACCCCTCTTGGCGTCCCTGTTGAGCAGATGCCACAGGAACGCCTTCCAGAACCGGTGGAAGGCCCTGAACATGGGCAGCTCGGAGCGAGGCTCAAAGAGCTCGTCCCGCGAGCGCCAGTGATGGAAGAAGGCGTGGTACGAGTCCCCGGGGTACAAGACGTCGCGTACCACGCAGTCCATGTCCTGGGACAGCGCGGGATACATCTCCCCGAGGGCGGGCAGGACGGCCAGGCCGCTCCTCTCGGGGGGCAGCGGTCCCATCCGAACGAGCGAGAGCGACTGCAGCCGCGGCAGCGTCCTCGCGTCCAGGCTGAGCAGCCCCGACCACAGCTCCTCGGCCGACTCGCAGAAGCCGGCGTGCCGTATCCTGTCCCGGTGCAGGCCGGCAAACGGGTCGAGCTCGCTCTGTTCCGTCTGCGGCCTGTGGTCCACCGTGTTGAGCGCCCCCGAAAACGCCCAGTCGTCGAAGACGGTGAGGATGTCGGCCTCGTAGTTGATAAAGGGCACGTCAAACCTCACGCGCGTCGTCGTCGTCGGGTCCCCCTCGTCCTGGGACGGCACGCCCGTCTCGCAGACCAAGTGCCTCGCCGGCCTGTGAAACCGCGGGAGCCAGACCGCCCGCGACTCCCGGCAGGCGTGTAGCAAGGGAAACACGGCGTCCCGCCTGGGGTGGACGATGTATCTCACGCGCCAATCCGGGTGGTTCCTCTGCTCGCACTGCCGCCGGCGGGAGCAGCTTGCATCCCGTCCTCTTCTCCATGCGAAACACTCGGACCAGCATTCGCGGCACGGCACCTGGCCAATGATTCGGCGAGGTGGCTGGACGAGGTCCCAGACTGCGATGCGGATTTCAGCTGGAAGGTTGGGGAACGGCGCGAATTCAGCCATGTACTTTGCTGTGTTGGCCCCGGATCAGAGATGTCTGGCCGAGTGCCAAGTGCCCGGAGGATGTAGACTACGGCCAGATCCCAGGGGGAAGGGGGGAGGGGATGAAAGATTTCGATGGTCATGAAAAGAAACGCGTGTGATGGATGAATGTGCCGCCAATTCACCGAAATGTCAACTGGCTTTTCCATCCGGACACCGACGCCGAACGGCCGAGCTGGTCGTTGTGCTGTGCTGTGCTGATTCAGGGAATACTAGCTCCACTTTTCTAACCATTGTTATTTCAATTAAATTAAGCTATAACTATTGTGTTTAAAAAGCTTAAAAAAAAGGGCGCGAATATATAAGTCGACATCGTCTACTAAGACGTTGGTATGATCATCTCCCCTCAGGGTGTTATCCGAGACTCTGAGATATGGCGAAACTGCAAAAGGGAAGCTAGCAAATAAGATACGATAGTACCTTTCTCGTACCTCTTTAGACAATCGCCATAGATATAGAACGCCAGGCCAAGTCTGAGGGGCTCATTCAGACATAAGTAGAGGGGTTTGAGAGGGATATCAGTTTTATCGTCGACTTTGAAGTAGACTGGGATCAATGAAAGGTTCAACGGCATGCCTTCACACATCCCCGTTCACACAGGTGTTTGTTTGTATTGATAATAATTCACGACACTTCAAATCCATGCCAACCATATTCTCATGGCCCCTTCATGAGTTGATCCGCGTGTCAACTTGCAGCTTGAATACTAACTTCCAGTCTTCTCCCAAGGCACGGCCGCTCCAGAGGATTTAAGAAAAAGCGCGCCTCAGTTTCTCATGTGCAACATCTCATCCCTCCGCAGACACTGCCACAAACCAATTGGCAACCAGATCGGTCAAGACGACGCCGATGAATTGTTGTCTCTCTTGTATCCGAGCCATCTTCAACATGCTGCTCTGTGATGGGGGGAAGGACTTCTGGCTGAAGAGTCGCGGAATGGATGCCGTACGCGTGCAGACATTCCATGACAATTTTCGCCTTGTCGGTAAAGTGCTTGACGGTTCTATCGTCAATCACTATATGTGCGGATGCAACAGTTTTCCGCTGATCGAGGCGCCAAACGTGAAGCTCGTGTACCGACACAATACCAGGAATCTATCAGCTCAATTGTGTCATGTTAGATATTGCAAGGCGCATGAAATCAGCATACAACAGCGGAAGAAAGGCGTACCATTTCAACGTCATGTCTAACGTCCTCCAAGTCAATTTCTCCAGGGGCAATCTGCAGGAGTATGCTACCGCTTTTTTTGGTCAAGGGAATCGCAGTCAAAAAGATCATGATGGCGATGAAGATGCCAATTGCCGGGTCGGCATAGTACCGTGCGGGACTGTCCAGCTGCCAAATAATAGTTGCAGAGATGATGACTCCGACATTATTTATCGCGTCCCCGATGGCGTGGATGAAGACCCCAAATATTCCGAGATCTCTCCCAGGCTTGGAGGGGGCGACAGAAGAATGCTTGTGTTCATGGTGGCTGCTAGTCACCTGAACCATATGTCAGTAGGGCCGTCGCACCACGGTTAGAACATAGGCCAGGTGTTCTCGGATCGCGGCTTACTGAAACTTTGCGACTTTCCACCCTGTTCTCGGGGCCATCAACCATCATGAAAGTTTCATCATCGAACTGAGCAGCAGCGTTGTGAGAATCGTGGCCGCGGGAATGGCCATGCCCGTGTCCGTGATCATGGTCGTCGTGTTCTGCTTCCTCAGTCTCTCAGTCTCTCTCCGTCTGCCTACCCGTAGCACAAGTGACACTCACCATGAAGAAATGACATCACTAGCAGGTTCAGCCCAAGCCCGACACATCCAACTATCAGCACCACTTTTGGCTCATCAATATCTAGACATCGTCAGCAAGACGAGTGATGCAAATTGAGGCGAGCAAAGCATACGGGAAGTGTGAGTAAACCTCTCGATCGCTTGGACAAGAATACTGACGCCAAGAGCGACAAGGAAGACGCCATTGAAGAATGCGCCGAGAAGGGTTGCTCTCTGCCATCCGAATGTAAATTCTTTGGGTGGTGGTTGGGGTCGTTCGGATACCTGTTTCTCCATCAGCGTATATTCAATTCATTCTTCGTGAGACAGAGTTGAAGCAAACCGTGAGGGCTACAAAGGCCACCAAAAAGCCAACCACATCACTGAGCTATTTGCGTCCATTAGTTATAGATAATAGACTTTCGGAGCCGCTCTTGGAAATAATCCCTACGTAGTGGAAAGCATCGGCAATAAGAGCCAGGGAATGAGTATAACATCCGGCTGAAGATGTGAGAGGGTTAACGACAGAATCTCAGTCGCAGTACACCGCCATCGCCTGATATTGTACTCACCGATCAACTCTGCGACAAAGAATGCCGCAGAAATGGCAATAGTGGCCATCAAACGCTGCTTTCGTGTAATGATGGATACAGCCATGACGGACCGATGCACGCTTTGCCGGGGCGTTAGTCAAGGAAGGGAGGCGGAAAGGAAGCAAGAGTCATGACAGATTAGATGAGTGTTATTTTATCGCAGCGAGTGACAAACGGAGCCAACAGCTGCTGCCAGCTGCGCAAACACCTCGACCTGCGCCATCTCCGGGCATTGATAGTTGGTTACCATGTTTGTCAAGCTTGCTAGGGACATTGCTAGCTGTACACTAGCAATTTCGTGCTTCACGGGGCCAGCAAGACCAGAACTGGGACGGTAGTGCAAGGTAAAATTGTAATATTGGCAGAGTGAAAAAAGAAAACTAACTTGCAACGGGAAGTCGATGAACATAGACCGGGAAAGCTGGTTTGAAGTTTGTTGGTTATAGTAACGTCGGGGTAGTAGCATCGACGGATCTACCGTTGCAATCAAATCGCATGAAGTTGCGGCGGCACATCTACCAGGAAGCTGCCTGTTTTGGCAGTTATGAGACAAAAAAATTTATCCTAGAGGTACCTCGTGTTTTATATCCCCCCGAGAAATCATGCACATACACCAATTGTGGTTGTGCCCCAGATGGATAGATGGACCATCAATGGCCAGGGCCGGCCGTCGGCGCTGGTACCCGTGTATTCGCATTTTGGCAACACAATTAAGCAAACAATGACGAACATAGTTGCACGAGAGAATCGCTTGGGTAGCGTCTGTGACTTGTGGCTAGCTTTGTACCCGCGACACCATCGTGGGATTCGTGGGCCACGCTTGTCCTGCGACTCGTCATGGTATAATAATCGCTGCTAGATTGAAGCATCATCACCGATACCGTCTCCGGGAGAGACACCCGCCCGGCGCCAATATTCCACTATCCCGTAGCATATAGCTTGAGAATCGAGATGCCCTACATGTGTATGTGTATATGTATGCATGTAGTGCCTTGGCCCGTTGTTCACTTCCTCGCCGAATACCTACCTAGGTAGGCAGGCAGTGCCTCATATAATCGATGAGTCTCGACAACATGTCGACTTTTTCTTCTCTTTCCCAAGGACTGCCGAAACCAACTTTCAGCTAACGAGACAATGTATAAAAGGTGAATTCCGAGTCGTGAGGAGGTGAGGAGACCGAGGCGAGACAAGAGAGAGCTCTGTGGTCGCTGAAATCCGGCAGGCGGTGTGGGGCGCATCATGCTGGGAGCTCGATTCTGCCACAGCTAACCACTCTTCATGACGCGATCAGACGACAGCATCGGCATCCATTCTGCCAGGCATAGTCAACCTTAGCAGATGGCATCTATCCTGAGATGAGACGCAAACCGCCCCAATGTCTCGATATGCTGGGCCCATGCCGCCTGTCTCGCGCAGAGGGCCACGATGGTCCCACCTTCATCACCCCAGCACGGTGAGCTTCGATCTTGGTTCAACAGAGTCGCCAGGTTCTCCCGGCAGCACATCGACTCATTCCACTATCCGGGAAGACAAGAGACGCAAGACTGAGCGCCACTGCACTATTTCTGTGAATGATGGCTACTCCAAAGACGAGGTCCTGCTTAACTTGGACCACCTTGGCGGGGACATCAAGCCTGGCGCCCTCATGGCCCTCGTACCGTTAAAAGGCGACTCCAAGAACGCTGCATGTGGCTATGGAAGCGTCAGTAAGCAGCCCCATGAACACCTCGATAGTGCCAGAGCGCCTTCGGGCACCTACAGCGACCATGATCACGGCGCCGGGCATACCTACGTATTCGTCGCCAAGGACATGTCCAAGGAGATGAAGGCTCGACACCCAGACACCGAGGTTCATGTTGCAAAACATATTGCAGATGCTTTTTCCATGAGGAAGGGCTGTCACGTATTGCTGCGACCCGTACGTCAACAACATTGCGTCCATCCTGCTCTCGTACTTTCCTATTGCTAACACGCTCCAACAAGGTCGACCAGCATCACCCTGCCGTCGAGGCAACACATGTTGAAATGTCCTTCAAAGACCAGTATCTGTCAAGAGCCGACATGTGGAGGCTAGCTGTTGGAGAGTTAGCGCAGCGGACTGTGTACAAGGGCCAGTCTCTATTCTTCATGGGTACAATCAAAGCCCAGGTCACTGCAGTCTATGTCAACGGCCACACTGTCCATTCCGCTTTCTTCGGAAAGGATACCAGACCCATTTTTCGCAGCGAGTCTGCCAAATATGTCCTCTTTATTCAAATGGCTCGAGAAATGTGGGACTTTGATTCTGAGGCCTCGGGCGAAATCATGTTCAACAAGGTTGTCAATGGATTCTTGCCCGCCCTCTTCAAACGCTGGGCGGTTCTCAAGGTGAAGCATCTTGTCAGCATAGTGCTATTCGCCCGTGTCGAGTATGATACTGGCATAAGCGCAGATCTTGCAACTAGCTCCGTACTCAACGATTATTACACCGGAATGCAACCGTACGGAAACCGCCGCCCGTACAAGGACTTTTATCGTGTAGTCGTCAGCGAGATGGCAAGCGGAGAGTGGACGACAATTCTTTACCAACTAAAGCGGGAATTCAACTACTTTCGCCGAGACATCACCTT